TTAATCTAGATTTAAACTGACAGAGTGTGTCTGCCTCCCGAACAGCGCTAGGTAAATTGTTCCAGAGTTTGTGCGCTAAATAGGAAAATTATCTAGCGCTTGCAGTTGATTTTTGATATTCTAGGTATTATCAAATGACCAGAGTTTTGAAATCGCAGCGGACGTGGAGGACTATAATGCAATATGAGCTCGCTCAAGTACTGAGGAGCTAAACCATTCAGGGCTTTATGTTGTATTTATAAGGAGTTATCACAAAGTAAGTCTGTTTAGTTGTGCTATCTTACAATCAATATATTGTAAATGTAAGTTAAAGTGTTGCCTATGTAACCGGTTAAAACTTGGAGTGGCGACGAGGTCTTAGAATGTATGGAAAGAGTCTTAAAAAAGGTCTTAAAAGGTATTAAATTTAACTCCATGATTCCTGTATATACCCTGAATTTGAATTTGTATAACAGTAACCTTTACTGTCTCTGTTTTTTGTCTTTATGCTGTAGGCATTGATCGAGGCCTTCATCAGAGACAACATTACATTCATTCTACCCAACAGCTTCAGACATTCAATTCAGCTAGAGCTGTTGCACAAGCTTCAACAAGGGTGAGATGCTGTTTAGATGCTTAATGGACAATTATATGTGTATTCAGGGTTCAAAATGACTCTCTGTACAGCATCTTATACATGCTGTCTTTTACCACAGAAATGTTCAGAGACTCGTTCCTCAGTATAGAATGTGTTTTCCATGGAAGCCCAAAGAGGCGATGGATTATTATTATTATTTTTCTTTATTTTTCCTCGTGATCACTACATAAGTTGTTTTCTTGTGATCGCAGCTTAACTTTCTTGTGACCTCAATGAAAGCCTAGCAAGCAAAGGGCAACCATGCAAATCACAGCATTTGACGGTACAGTATAAAAGACCTGTGTACTCTTGCGCCCATCCCTTTTTAAGCCAGAAAGGAAATACGAAGATGCAGTTTCTTCTTTAATGGTTCTAACACTGATGAATAGAATAAGTAGATACGAAATCGTTTTCCTTCTACAAAATTCTTACAGAATTGATGGAATCAAAGCTGTATATTTTTCTTATAAACTTCCTCGTAGAATTCCATTAGAAGTGGCTATAATTATTTTTTTCTTTCACAAATAGAGAGGTCAGCCAACATGTGGTTAGTGGCATGCCACACATGCTGTCCATAGATCTAGTTGTATATTCCTTTAATATATGTGTGTCTGTGTGTTTTAAATGACAGGGACGGGGCTCTGGAGGAAGTGTGTCATAAACTGTGTGTGTGTAACGCAGTGAGAGATGCACTGGAGGGTGGCGTCCTCGGTGTGTCCTTCCATCAGCTGCTCCTCAAACCCAGCAAAAACACCATCAGTTTTCTGCTGGAGGTATAAACCCTGCTGCGTCACTGAATCATACACATTACACACTCTATTCTTTTACTAAACGGATCTAGCTCACATGGTCTTCTGTTGAAATAAAGGGCTGTTTTACTGCTCTCTCTCACATGACTCCAGGTGTGCGCAAGGTCAATGGATAAGGAGCACAGGTCGGAAACATGCAAGAGGAAAATGGCTCTTTTTATCAAGTGAGCACCCTTGCAGTTTTAAGAACTATTTTCACCTTGCTAGACTTTTGACTAATCGGGTTCATACAGTATGTCTTTTTCTATTTTTATTTATTTATTTTTTGCTTTTACATGCTTTTCAAAGGTGGATTTGTTTGAAGTGAATTCTACCATAATAATATACTGACATGGGTGTGGGGAAATGCTGCAGGCAGTTTGCATTAACAGGAACTCTTTTTTTTTTTTTTTTTTTAAATCTTAATCGTCATCGGATTTTAGATGATGTATAATCTAGGTCTTGTAACTGTTTACCATTTTAAACGTCGTCTTGTATTTGCTATTGTATTTTATTTTAAATTGTATCATTGTGTGAAAATACTACAAATATTCTATGACATATAGCTGTTAATTTGCTTGTTTTCATTGTAGGTCAGTTTGTAACAGGCTGGAAGATGTTTCTCTGGCCTTCATGGTGTCTTCTCACAAACTCTTCATGGAACTCCTTCAAGATGAGGAGAAGAAGATCCTGATGGAGCAGATGAGGAAGAGCTCAGCCACAGTCAACCTCAGTGCCAAACCACTGCCTTCATTCTACGATATACCTGGTACATCTGATGGGCAGACATTTAATCATGACCATATGAAATTCTTAATTTTATCATCTGAAGAGCTGTGCTTGCTGTTGTTTGTGTTTTGTTCTCACCAGCGTCTGCCAGTGTGAATATCAGTCAGCTTGAACAGCAGCTCATTCTGTCACTGGATCCTCTACACATCCGACAAATCCTCATTGAGCTGCAGGGGATGGCCGAGCGACCCTTCTGGAGGGTTAACAGTAAGGTCAGGAAAGACCACGTGATGTTTTTAAGGCTGCTCTTATGCCTCATTTCAGAACATAAAAGGTAGATAATCTAGTCTTCTGTCTTTAAATAGTGCTGATCGAGTAACAAACTGGATCAGTGTTTCTTATACACAATTTTGTTTTGCAGCAAATTGAATAAGAGCTTGTGAATTTATTTTAGCGATTTGCAATATCAATTCATGACAAAAAAATGCTTGTCATGAAAGTTAAAATTTATAAAAATAATAAATTATAGTTGTTGACATTGACTTCTTTTTTCATTCTTGCAACTGTATTTTTTTGTTGTAGTGGGAGGTTCCTGTTGACTATGTGAACGTCATACTAGCAATAAAAGACAACTTGACACGAGACCTGGTGTACATCCTTATGGCCAAGGGTCTGCACTGTATCAGTATAAAGGTGTGTATCTGAACAAGTCTCACTTCCACAGCATTCAGTATGTTTACATGCACACCAGAAAGACAGTTTTGGAAAGACAGCTGTTTAAGACACAGAAGCAATATTCATGTTGATATGCACTATTGTAGTAATGTGCTCTTAAGCCTGTAACACAGTCGACTAGATCAGTGAATAGCTTTCTCTACACCTTTGCGTAATCTGTAAGAATATGCATTTACAAGCCCACTAAAGATGCATCCTGCTACAGAAACCCAAATGTGTTAAACCGCTTTCACGTAACTGTGTAAGGAAAATGCTGTTCACATTTACATGATTCTGAATGCTGCTTTCTGCAAAAGCCCTGAAATAAACATTTTGTAAACAACACAGGTGCAGAAGGGGTTAAGGCATGCTTTTTGAGGTGTTAAATAATGGCACAAATACCAGTAAACTGACTACTGCAAACTTTAGTAAATCACCTTGCATAATTATTCTGAATGCTGCTTTCTGCAAAAGCCCTGAAATACGCCATTTTGTAAACAACACAGGTGCAGAAGGGGTTAAGGCATGCTTTTTGAGGTGTTAAATAATGGCACAAATACCAGTAAACTGACTACTGCAAACTTTAGTAAATCACCTTGCATAATTCATCTAAATACTCTCATCCCATTAATTTTGTATTTGAAAGTGAAACTGCTATAAATGCATATGCAGTAAGGTAGACTGCAAAAATAACTGTCCACAGCTTTTCATAGCTAATGTGTCTTTAGTGCATATTAATACACTGCTGGTCTTTAGTCAATTCTGACTGTAGTTTTTGTGAATGCTGAAAGACGGTTTGCACTGGCTGTTAGTAAAGATAGCCCTCGCTATTTTAATAGCATTAAAACGCTGGTTTATTACAAACTCACTATAAGATTAAAAATAAATGAAGTTAGCTGCATCACATCAGAGGGTAAAATGTTTGGCACTGCTGTATGGACTCATGTCACGATTCTACCGATTTCAAATCCAGGTGTTTCAGAAGGCCAGAAAATAATAGATCATATTTTAAACTTCTGAGTTAGTTTTGAGTTCTGAAGCTTGCAGTATGTTTTTATTGTAACCTCTGATATGTGTAAATAACAAGAACATTTTGATTCTCCATTTCATGACCCCTTTAAGTCCAAAACAAACCAAAGAATAAATAAAGAATCAAATTAAAGCAATAAGCCCCAAGTGGTTTACAGTGAATTTATAACAGCTAAGGGGCGTTGTTAGGCACGACGTGAAGCGGAGTTAGCTGTTATAAATTCACTGTAAACCACGGCTTCATGGGGCTTATTGCTTTTATAAAACAGTTATTCCATATACGTAGTAAGGTTTCACAAAATAAAACAGAGCAAATAAAGTGTAAAGGTATTAATAAAAACAGTATTCTTCCACCAAACAATGTAGTTCCTCAGAAACAGTTGTGGTTCCAACAAAGTGGTTGCCGAGCAACACACAGAAGTAAACAAAGGTGTATGTTTGTAGAGTAATATACAACAGCTTCAAACCAATCAGAATCAAGGACTGGAACTATCTGTTTTATAAAAATAATTTTATCGTTTGTATTCATGTGATTCTGGGTGCCACATTTTTGTAATTAATTTTGAAAACCGAGGTAGTTTAATTTAATTTAGCTGGGATTTATTTCTGGGAAATATTTCTTAGAAACATTTATTTCTATGAAATTAAATGTTTTGAATTAAAGATTACACCGAGGCTTATATTTGTAGTTTCAAATGTCCGTTTTCTTTTAGTTTGTAGTTTGAGCCACTTTTTTTCTCTCTGGCTGCTGCAGGATTTTGCACACGCTCGTCAGCTGTTCACGGCGTGCCTCGAGCTGGTGACAGAGTTTTCTCCTAAGCTGCGTCAAGTCATGCTCAACGAGCTGCTGTTGATGGAGGTCAGAGGTCACGAGGCAGGCGCTGCCGAAGGCAACATGGAGAGACCTCCACCCGACCTGGTCAGCAGGGTCCGCGGATATCTGGAGATGAGGATACATGGTATTATTTTTATTTTATTTATTTATTTATTTAGTCATTTAGCAGACGCTTT